CTATGGATTGTACACGAGTGCGTGCGTTAGCCAAACTGGTAGCCGATAACGTAGCATGGCCCCCAAAAAGTGTCAATATTTTCGGGCCCCTCTCCAAATAGAATGGCTGAAAGATTGCACTTCACTGTGCTGTTGGAGTGCGAGGGGTCCATGCACCTTGACTCATTATAGCCTGCCTATTGCTTTACATTTTCCAGTATCATGAGACCTTACGAGCTTTCTGCAATGAGGCGCCGTCACTTCGTGATAATCGTCATCGTTTCGAAAATGCTGGTGACGTCTTTATACAAGTCAACGATCAGTTACATGACAAAAATCTCGAACAAATTGTCAATGTAAGTTATGATGCCATTGGTTCCGATACTTTTTTTTGGCTTATTGTATAGGATTTGACAGGCTTTTGCTGTTGTTGGTCGTTTCGATATTTCACCAGAGCTTGTCGACTTTGGAATCCGTTTGCGAGACCTCACGAATGAATTTTCGACGATAACCGCAGTGAGAGGGCGTACTGTTAGGTAACAGTGTTACTCTTATTATTGAATCTTATCTTTTGGGTACTTTATACAAGGTTTCCATAACTTTTTCCACTCTGTGGCAATATTTTGATGGTAAGCCATGTGCTGCAGAGTTTTTTTCCACTCTATTTACCCTACAAATTTACTTCCGCCCCTAATTTTCGGCTGGAATTTGATTGAGGTTTGTACCAAAGGACAGGCTTACTGGAAGTTTGTCAAAAAGAATACTTAGACACCTTGGAGCGAGTATCATATTCGTTGACCTAAAAGCTGGTAACGTTCGCTCTATAAGCGCCAGCGCCGTAGGCACCTTTTGGCAGCGACATCTGCAATGCGAGCTAGAAACACTTTCGCGACAGTTACCCTTCGAAAATCTCTGGCCGAACTCGCTCAAGGAGACGAATTTGGATGAAATATCTAGTACGAATCAGAAGAGTGGGGTTCTTGAGGCTTAACGGTGCCATTTTTCCATATCTGTTGAATTTTGCCAATCCAAAGCATGGAACAATCCTTACAACACAGTAACTGCGTCGCTAAGTTCTATGCATGCTCGGTGCACATAGCCTTTCGCCCGTGTTTGACTCCCTTCTTAAGTGATAACCAGATGAAGCTGTACGGCAAGAGAGTATTCAGCAAGCAGCCATCTTCACGTGTCTCTCAACATTCTCATCATGACACCGTCCCGCCGAAGTCACAGCAGTTCGTAACGGCCTACTGGTGAGTCTGACTAGTACTGATACTTGTTCTTTGTTTTTAGAAGTGCGTAGATTAGCTTTCAAATATTACCCTTCTTTTCGCTCATTCTGTTACAGTCATCAACGCCAGGCTGATCAAAGGCATATTCTAAATGGAAGCGTGATTGTGCTGTTATTTTTACTGCTGCTGCTAGGAAACTGCTAGGGTCTCGTTCGCTGCGGATGATGGGGCGCGTCAAAGGTGACTAGTTTTGGTGCAGCACCAGTCCATTTATTCTTTTTTTCTTTCGGCAAGCGATAATGGTGATCATCTATCGGTCGTTTTCCACGAGCTGTTGTGGCTTACACGCTTCAACAATTGATCAGGAACGGATTTGCGGCGCGCCCCTTCCCACACTGACACGCCCCATCATCTGCATCGAACAGGACTATCTGTAGCTGTCCTGAGCCGCTAATATTCCTCGCGGTAGTGTGAAGTGGTTTCAAGGAATTTGTTTAAGCGCCTCTCAAAATGGTGACCAAACTGTGTATCAAACTGCAAACACTCACACAAGCCAACCACAACAAACAGTCAGCCAGCAAGATTACGCTTTTGACTACCATCCTCAGGTGAGTATAATGCGGCTGGCTTTCTTTCCTTGACGGAGCTCACCATTTTTCTTGACCTTTCTTAGCCGCATGCCTCCACATATATAGTGCCGAACTCTACATCGTATGCTCCCGTCCAAGTGCTCTCGCAAGATAACACTGTTACCTCTGCTCAGGTATTCATTACATGGTAGTGTCTTGATTATTTCGGACTGTTCAACCATTACTGTCCCACTCTTTGAAATCAAGGGCAGTTTTTTTTTCAGGACATGCCTGCGAACAATACGATTTCCTACCTAACCAGTGATCAAGCAATGCCTGCTACACAACCGCCCACGACTTGTGAACAGCCAATGCTGATCGACTATGGTGTTAGCGTTAAGGACAGCCATTCCGACGTGAACTCATCGCAGTGCCCCAGGTTAATGTGCTTTTCACCTTCATCAAGTCACCCCTAAAATGATTGAATAAAATCGCTTTTGCTATAGGCGGATGAGCAAGACTGTCCGCTTGATTATGAGTCCGTCTTCTATGTCTGCCGGGGACATTTCTGATCGAAGTGACGGTGTTTTTTGAGGGCGAGTACACTCACACTCAAAGGGAATTGCAGGGATGAGAGTGCTTCCAGTGTAAAAGAACCGCGTCACGTTGCGATCGAACTGTAGGCATGTGGTCAGTCTCACAAAAGCTGTACCATGCCGCGTTCAAAAAATTTTATGCCCGAAATTATTTCGAATCTAGGTATCCTCCCCTCAAAATATCTCCGCAACTTTGTTCAAAAAGGTCGCAAGCGATCAGAATAGACGGATTTATGATCACCTGTCTTCATCGAATATCTTTTCTACTTCATCCTTTCACTGATCAGTGGGCGGAAAAGCGTCGCAAAAGAATAACGTTCACGTAGAAAAGAGTAACATTTCCCCAGAGGACACTGGTAATGAATATCATTATCGCACATTATGGAAGCCAGCGACGAAGATTCGGCAGAGAACTAGTGAGAACTAGCAATTAAAACTGAGCAGCAGGCACCCTTCCGCGAGGGCAGGCCGCAGCATGCTCGCCGACTACGGAAGCAAGCTTGAGTCATGTTCATAGCATTCTCAGTTGGGAGAATTGATGATTGACTCCACCCTTTGTGCTTTGGAGGTATCGGAGAGTCCGATGCCGTGAATGTCAAAATTCATCTATTGTTTCCTTGGGACACTTCGATTCCCGAGTGCGACACAAACTTTGTGCAGCCTCTCTGATTTTTACTTTCGAACGAGCTTCTGTGCTTAACTAAAGCTACCAGTAGTTAGGCCGGATACCAGGCCAGGATTGTCTTAGTTATCTCTCTGCAAGTACGAAAGTGGACGATTGCAGAAATGAAGCCTCTGAAGAATGCGGCAGCGCTCCGCATACGCTCTTGAGCTCTTCGTTCTCTTCTGAAAGCGGTATACCTTCATTGTCACTGATAATACTTAAACAACTTTCCTGATCTACGATTTCAGGTGCACATAAACGGAAGACTGCAGTGCCGCATCGTCGCGATGAGCTTGTTGCGCAGACAGCCCAATCGCTAATTGTTCCAAACGGTGTATTACTGGATTTGGAATCAGATGCAGCAGCCAAAACTGCTTCGGTAATTACTCCGCTCTTAGAATCTGTACTCCTTCCCACCTCCTGCAGGTTATTTGGAATTCTTAGCGTTCGTTGAGTTTAGCATATGTCTTTGTTATCCAACATTGACGACACAGCAATGCAGTGCTTGGACCGCCTTATAAATGGGAACCTCGATGAGGTGTGTTTAGAAGAGGATCGCTTTCTTTCCTGTTCTGCAAGTTATTTTTTCATACAGGTGTTCCCGTTTTGTGACGATCCTGGTGATCTTTCGGGATTTGCTGCTGAAATGGAAAATCCCTTCCCTTCGAGTCAAAGCAATAGCAACGCATGTCCACAAGAGGTTTCTCATATTTGCTTACAATGAGTGAATACATATTATCGTGTCTGTGTAGTTTCAGGGGATAGGAAACCTATTTTCTGACTCTGCTCCTCCTCCACTCGATGTTGGTCCTTCACACAGCCCACCGCCTGCAGCAGCACACAGCTCCAAAAGTCGCTCACTTGATGAGGGAGAAATTATCAGTGAAGAAAATCTGCTTGTATGATCTCACCAATTTTGTGATCCCTGCCTCTGCTTCCACAATTCCTTTATTGTTCAGGGGAAATCTGAGAAGCCGACGTCAATGAGCAGAACGGTTTCAAGAGCGGACGATCATGACGTCAACACAGAGCGTGGACACTCGCCCGTTTCTCGCATCGAGTCAAGGCGCTCTTCACTAGACTCTGGGTAAAGCAATCTAATTCTCAACAGAAATTCCCGTCATGATAGACGCCCTAATTTCGTAGTGTGAGAGCAGCTAGCTGATTATCAATTATTCATTCTGGAAACGCTCATGTCAACTGCTTCAGAAGGAATAAGCGCGAGGAGAAGAAAACAGCTGAACGTTTGAAAGACTTTAGTCGCAATCCTCCAAAATCGGATCATAGTAGGGTGAGTTTGCGTTCCAGGTTTGTCCTTTTTTAAAATTTGAACTCGCGTCAGTGTAGTTGAACGTGGACCTTTCTGGCTGGTTACCATCTTAGCAAACACAAACGTGAATTGCTGCGCCTTTGTAGGCCTTCTAACTGTGACACACGGTAATGTGCTTTCAGTCTGTGTCTCTGAAAATGAATAGTTTGTTATGAAATTTATTCCTCTTTCTCGTCTTTTTTTTCTGAGTAATCTCGCGAAACGCAGAGTACATGATATCATACGTTGACACTTATTTCTTATAGAAGTCGACAAGTGATCGCAGTGAACTGAAAGATGCGGTCATATTCGAGTCAGGTAATGTACCCCGAGTGCATACATCTTCGACTGCAGGAAGCCGTTCGTCAAGAGAGCGTACACGGTGGGTCATCCTGTCGTTGCCTGGTTTCTGCACCCTCATGTGATTGTTCAGCGGTTTTTCGTCGTTGTTCGAGGAAGGTCACAGCAACCCGTCTTCTCGCGAACCGTCACCACATCGTGAGAAGTTGAGCAAAAAGGAAGAAGAACGTCGTCGACGTGAGAAGGAGATGGAAAAGGAGAGGCAACGGGATAAAGAGCGCTTGAAACGGCAAAAGTAAGCCTAGTCTTTTTCAGATTTGATTGCAACTTTGACTCCATTGTTGCTGTCAACGAGTAGTCGTTGTTTTAGGCGCGACCGTCATCGCGAAAGTGACCGTTTATCACGGCTCAGTCCAGATAGGAGATCAGAGAAGAAGACTCACCACAGGAGTGATGAAGAAAAATCCCGCGATGTGAGAGAGAAAGAGAAGAAACGTGAGCATGTAGAGGAGCGCCGAGTAGTAGATGAGGCTGAAAGGAGGAAAGCCGAGGAAAAGTCAAGGAGAGATATGCAGAAAAAGAAAAAAGAAGAGGAACTGGAAGCCCGTCGGCAAGCTGAACTGCAAAAGCGTGCAGAAGCAATGCGGAGAAAAGAAGAGGAAGATAGAAAACGACGTCAAGAGGAAAAGGAAAGACAAGAGGAGAGGAGGAGGGAAGAAGAGAAGCGTCGTATGGAGGACGAGAAAAAGAGAAAACGAGAAGAGGAATCAGCTCGACGTGAGGAAGAGAAAGCGCAAAGGCACGATGATGATGTGGACCGTGGTCTACAGGAAGATTCAAGGAAAGAGAACGAGGGCGGAAGAATGGAAGCGAATAGTGAGGGAAGTGATGGACAGGAGACCGCGAGAAGTGCTGTACACTCAGACCAAGAACCATGCAGCTCTGATGAAGATAATGCCTCGTCCGCCGATGTCGCTCATCCAGCTCGGAACGACGAAGAAGTTTCGTCGAGTCGGAAGGAGTGTCGGAGTCAGGAGCAGAAAACGCGCTTTCCTAAAGCAGAAACAAGAAAATTTTCTGAAACTACCAACAGACATACTGCTGAGCGGGAAGCGGCACCCGAGAGCGAAGACGATGTGGCTCCTGTTTCGGAAAGCGAAGAGAGGAAAAAGAAGTCCAGAGAAGAAATTCGATCAAGCAAAGGCACTAGTGAAAGTAGAAAGGTAGCTTTTTGGTTTTTTCCAATAACTCAAAAAGTCATTTTGTCTTTCTGTTTTTTGTTTATGACCTTTTTTAGCATTGACTTTCAGCAGCACCAAATACATTCTGAAATGAAAAATGTTCTGCAGTTCAATCATTCAGAGTAAAAGCATTTTTGTAGCCGTTCCCGCCTCCAATTCCTGCAAAACGTCGCGATGAACAGAGGAAGGTTGTGAAACCTCTTGAACCCGGAATGATGATGAGTGATCCTGGCGTTTTAGATCGCATAAATAAGGAAATGGAAAGTCTGACACCGAGGTTAGCTTTTAGTTTGGAATGGAACGCTAATTTATTTATTTTATTTGATTCACTAGATGCGCCAAAAACAATGACTAATTAATAAGATCGTAGGGTTTCTGATTTCTTCATTAGTCATCAGATTTCTTTCCGTTTTTTTCAAATAAAACTTTTTCGCGCTTTATGTGACGACGTTTCGGGCCTTAAGCTCTTCATCAGGTCCACAAAAACGTAGGTCTGCATATAGTAGCGCTCTTCGGTTATGTATATACCAGCCGGCTTCGCCGGCTGACTCCGGCGCGCCTCTTAGGGTACTGGTAAGCATGGCTCCGCCGCGCTTACCTTCTTCCACACGTTTCATTAGCCGCCTAGTATCAGGCTCTTCTTTTACCCGAACAGGTGGTCAACATTCTTTGACCAATAGCATCATACCTGCTCCTTTCAACACTATTACGGTTGGTAAGGAGCGTTGATCAAGTGGACAGATGAGAGAAAAGCCGGGTATTAGTCGAGCATTTGATCATACGAATGCAGGTAGGCGCGATGGAGCCACGCCCCGCAAAGCCGGGCCGTATCACATAGAGGTCCGAAGTGCCTGGAGTGCTCTGGAACCGCTTGAAGAATTTTTGAGGCTGGCCCCGCTCACCTTGACGCACGCTCCACACACAACAGGTATGCTTACACTTGTGAACCGGTTACCCCTCGATGACCTTAAACCACTTTTTTCCCCGGTGTCTGGAGTGCTCTGGAACGCACTTCAGGTACGCCCCACCTACAACGTACACCTCGCGCTTCTCAACAAATAACCCCTCGCTGATCTCAAACTACTTTTCCCGGTGTCTGGAGTGCTCTGGAACCGTTTTGCGAATTTTTTAAATTTGGCTCCACCCACCTCGGGGCACGCCCCGCCCACAACGTATGCCCCGCGCTTCTCAACTAATAACCCCTCGCTGATCTTAAACTACTTTTTCCCGGTGTCTGGAGTGCTCTAGAACCGTTTTGTGAAATTTTGAATTCGACTCCGCCCAGGCAAACCCGCCCACAACATGTGCCTCACGCTTCCCTACTATAACCCCTCGCTGATCTTAAACTACTTTTTCCCGGTGTCTGGAGTGCTCTGGAACCGTTTTGTGAATTTTAAGTTTGACTCCACCCACCTCGGGGCACGCCCCGCCCACAACGTATGCCTCGCGCTTCTCAACTAATAACCCCTCGCTGATCTTAAACTACTTTTCCCGGTGTCTGGAGTGCTTTGGAACCATTTTGCGATTCTTTCCGAATTTGGCTCCGCCTACCTTGGTGCAGGCTCACCACAACGGGAGTGCCTCGCACATCATTCCATTTGATCACTTGGGGACCATAATCCACTTTTTGGCACCATCTGCAGTGATTTAGGACCAAACTACGACTTTTACTGTTCCTCGTGCTCAAATGCACGCCCCGCCCACTGTGGGCGGGCCTCAGCACGCCGCAAACATGGACTCTTGCAAGATATTCTTCTTCGTCATGGACTTTTCTGCGCTCCTTAAACATTTTCGGGGACCGAGTTATCGACCTTTGCGGGAAGCGCCGCCCATCTCAAGCACGTCCAGCCCATTTCGGGTGTCTCTCCTCAGTGCTAACCTAATTCCACTTTTTGCAGTCTCTGGTTTGCTCCGTATCCAAGTTATGGTGATTTTTCAGTGACACGGGAAGCGCCATCTCAAGTACGCCCCGCCCATTTCGAGTGTGTCTCCTCTGTTTGGTCGTCAGGCCTTTGTTAACTTTACTGCACTGTTTCCTCATCTCGGGACTGCTCTGGAACCGAGTTATGACTTTTTTCAGTGACATCGCTAACTTTTGACGCACGCCCCGCCCACTGTGGGCGGGGCCTTACCATGGGTCATGGGTGCTATTTAGGTTTTGTCCCATGCTCTACCCATCCCCACCATGAACCGATTTCTCCAAGTTCTTCTTCAGGTCTAATACTTTTGCGTTGCGGACAGACAGAAGACGCACAGACACACACACACCCCATACACACACAGAGAGCATAGCCGATATATTTAGTACGCGTAGTAGGATCGCGCCAGGCGTAAACCCGAGCTCTCCTCACTTCTTTTTAGACCGCATTCTGGCCGAGAGCTGGCTGTGCTTTCGCAGGCTCACTCCATATTATTTAAACGGAAGCGTTTCATTACTGCTGCTCATACGCGATGTAGTGATCGAATCATAGCAATAGGGAAGTCCTCGCTGTGCACGAAAATTTGCACACTGAGCTCAACTATAGTTGATAAGAAATGTATAAGAAGCGGCCTTGAACTTTCTTATACAATGATAAAATTGTCCTCTCACGCGCGTACAACAATGTCCTATCCATCCACTACTCTTAGTAATTAGGTAGTGTAAATGCTCCTCACTTTGATGAGTTCAACAACGGCACGTTCCTTATCAGCCCGCTATTAGCGAGTTATCACTTCCTTCACTGCGTCGAGTCCCTCCCACTAGCATCATTTTCTGAAAAATCAACGCATAGCTGATGCTGTGTCCTGCGTCATGAGTATGCTGACCTTACCGTTCTAACTCCCCCCTATCAAATCTTATCAGCGATATCACTCTCTGTCACCGCATCAATTGTCCTGTCGACCACCTAGCCTGGAAATCAACTTCCCACATGTTGTTGTGTTCCACACTATGGATCTCTTGGTGACCTTGTCCGCTTCAGAGCCTAGCTTATCGGGAATCTTACCTAATGTTCCTGTACTCCTGTCACCGCTCGTTAAATAATGTCCCGTCACAGCTCCATATCACTAGCTCACGGACATCGACTTCTATATTGACTGGGACGGGCGTAGATTTCGTGACAGACGACAGACAGACTATACAGACAGACAGACCACACATGTACCTCCACGCGGACATAGCCGATTATATTAGTATAAGGACTTTTGTAAACGGCCAAACGGTTTTTCGCACTTAATCCCTTTTTCACACAGCTGAGTCCCCTTAAATCTTGGTTTGTTATTCGTATCAATGCTGTCACGACCAAGAGTGGAGGGGAACTGGTTGTGTAAGGAAAGGGATTGTGCGCGAAAAACCTTTCAGCTGAATACTTTTGGGCGCTATTGTATGTTTTTGTGGACTGGGAAGGGACTCAGGGCCCGAAACGTCGTCACATAAAGTGTGAAAGAGTTCGTTTTGAACAGCGTAGAAAGCTCACGATTATATTAATCCTTTTAAGTTCAAAAAATCGGTCGGGCTCTAATCGATCACCTGAGGAACCGTTCGCGAATACCAAGAGTTTGCCGACAACAAGAGTGAGTTCTCGATAGGTTCTTGTAATCAAATGATATACTCGTTTTGACCTCAGATACCAAAACGCGACACTCCTGTGGACTACAACCAAGTTCTTTTCTCGAATCCGCCAGTGATAAAGCGAACACCACCCGTTGTAGAGAAGAAGGTACCTGGACTTTTAAGTGGCTCATGCTTTTTTTGTTATCAACAGCACTGATCTAGAGTTCTGTGGAAATAGCTTGCGGCCCTGAAGTTGAACGCATACGGGCTTTTATCGCGACCACACTCGCTGATAAAGACAAGGTATACGATGACAGGATGGGGCAATGGCGTTCAAATATGAACTGCGAGGTGATAAACGGGAAATTCTCGACGAAAATCAGCAGAAAATAGACACTAGATAGGCTATAAATCAGACCACTTCCAGTCCCGAATATTGTACGATTTCCAAACGGTGAACATGTAATGGCACATGTCCGCAGCTGCTTAGATGTCCATGACTTTGAAATTGTAAACAGTTGTGGGAGCCAATGTAACTTAGTTCTGTACGTTTGTTTTGTGCCGGTGAGGACTTTTCTGGGGCATCTAAATGTGGAACAGAAATATAGCACCACAATATGGCGCTGGAAGGTGTCAGTGGTTGTAGAGGCTGCATCACATACAGAATAATAGTGATAATAATAATTTAACTTTTTGATCTTTTAGGGCTAAGGATGTAAGGATTTCTAGGGGAACTGAATAGTTAGGCCCATGAGCATCCCTTAGGCCCATGCCAACCCTCAGTGGCTGCCAGCTACTATCTGGTCACCCTTTTTCCGGCTTCGCCCAGTCCAAATGGCGAGAGTGAGGTGATAAGAGGAAAGGGCCGATGTCGTAATGATAACAACAAGTGGGAACTTGTACAAACACCCTTCTCTTCACTGTGCGCATGTAGAAGTTGGGATCACCGAAGGTCTTACATAGGGCATTTCGAACGATTTTTCTTGTCGGCCTTCCTCCTGTTGCAGTTTTACTTGTTTACCGTGTTTTACAGGCCGTATTTAGCCGAACCAGCACTGTGTGAATCGCGGGCCTTGGCCTTTAGAGTGAGGCGTTTGTTCTGGAAAAGGTGCGCACAGGCGGTTGTGACCCAGGGAAAAGGTTCTTATCTGAGCTTTCTATGTGCTTTCTCGTAAAGCGGTGCGCGCAGGCAGATGTAGTCAGCGTAGTCTTACAGGGCAAAAACGCCTACGGTCGGCGCGCTTGCGATGGCTTTTTTATCGTGACCTTTGATCTTCCAATTACCTATTCGTGAGAGCTGCATTGCGAGTGCTTCTGGAACTTGTGTCTCGCATTTATTTCAACTTATGAGCATGGTTTTCCTTTTCAGAAGAACTATGTACTATCCAGTGGCTTGCCTACGGAGAATGCCAATCAACTTGGTTTTTTCAAAAGCACATTCCTCAAGATGTAAGTGCCCTAACACTATGGAATATAAGAGGAGAAAGAAAGTGCCTGCAAAAAAGTCATCAAAATGACATCTTTTCAGTGGGTATGTTCCTTGAGAAAGTCAGCGATAAACACAAGAGGCTGATGGAACGGGAGGGCGATCGAGCGGCTGCATCTCCTGCTTACGAAGTGAGTTATGAGCTTGATATCTATCGTGTTGTGTTGCTCCTGGCCCTTGCTCTAAAGGAAAGTCGATCACTCCATTTGTTGTTTTTTTGCGCTACATTTCCAAAATTGCTTGCTAACCCTTCAGTAGAATAAAAAAATGTCATCAAGATCTCGATGCTGCATGACTTCCTGTGATTTCTTGGTAGTATATGTTGTCCTCCGAGCATGCTATCTGGATATTGAATGACGCTTTTTTTGCTTTTTTCATCCAATGTTATTGCAGGATGTTGATCGGAATGGTGCTCCTTCTCCAGTTAGCTTCTCACATTACTCTCGGCAGCAACAGCAGAAATTTGCGCCTCAGAAGAGACCACTGCCAGCTACAAGTCTGGAGTCCTATCTCGGTTCTCCTCCTCAGGTGTGTTGCAGTGCATCATCTCTGTAGATAGATGGGCGTTGAAATAGTAAAGTCAGATTCCGCGAAGTTTCTTGATCGACTTGTTGCTGTATGGTGCAGGAAATCCACATTATCTCCGTAAAAGCCTCCCGATTCCCCCGTTCTTTTGCCATATCTTCATTCTCTATCACACGGACTGACTCATTCTTCTGAAGCTTATCCACAAAATGGGCCATTATTTCTTCATTAGGCTGCGTTCATACTTTGCGGCAGCGTCTACCGAGCGAGCTAACGGCAGCGTACAGCAACGTCCATGAGTAGAGAGTATGGATAAGTAGGAGGGTGGCAGACAGTTAGATTAAGCGTCTGAAATTGCGGCGGACAGCCGCACCGTGCAACTGCACTACGCCGCGCCTCAAGATGCATAATTGTGTGCTTTAGCAATTGTCCGGTGAGGATGCACACGCCGCAACTTCACGTCACCCAGTCTGGCTCTCTGTTACCCTAATTCCGCTTACTCTCCACTCCTGGAGACGCTGTGTACGCTGGCATTCGCAGGAGCTATGCCTATACTTCTCTAGTCCCTCGAGACGCTGGTAGACGGTGGCGTTCGCTGCTGGACTGCCGCAAAGCATGAACGCAGCCTTAGGGGGAGAGGAGAGGTCGCTAAAGCTGTCACATTACTTACAGAGACCATGACGATCCCTTCGTCGGCACGGTGCTTGGCGTTGCGCCGGTCCCAGCTTCTTTTCCTTTGTTCTCCGTCTTTAGCCTTGTTTGTCCAGTGCTTAGAGACCCTGAGAGATATCTGATCATAAACATTGATACGACCAGCGTACAGTACAGTGTTTGACCTTAGAAATGGCTTGAACGTCCAATTTATGACACTTCACTTAACGCTGTGGATTCATTCAGCTTCATAAGCACCAAAACCTGAGCAACTGACCCTACAGTTGTAGGGCATTCGAGAAACGAAAGATATGGCATTATTACTCGGATGCATCAACAACTGCCTTAAAAGTAGAGGAGACTCCGTTGCCAACTTAAAAACCGATGGAATATTGCAGCTCCATTTACACTTACTCATGGCGTGTTTACATTCTTCACATGGAAAATACATTATGTTCTATCTTTAAGAGGTCGCCCGATGTTCGCGATAACGATGCAACGTCATCACGGAACTCGGGCAAAAAATGCAAGCTGGATTTGTCGAAAATGCCTGACATAATTGATAAGTTGTATGGAGGGAAGTAGCGACAGGTGGTTCACTCCTGACGGTATGCCCAGCTCTTTGTCCTTGTCATTGTAGATTGTCACGAGTGCGCATCAGTCATTAACCGCTCACGTTCACTTACTTTGGTACACTTCTTTCTGTGGTACAAAAATTTGAATGTTTGTATTTATGAGTTTATTTTTCACCATGTGAATTGTCTGTCTTTCACTATGAAAGTCATCTCTCCAAATAATTGTTCTACCGGTTCATAGTGGGTTGTATAAAGGTTCTCTTACTGCTCATGCAGTCGACTTCGGACAGTTAGGCTACGTTCATACTTTCTGGCAGCGTCCACCAGCGTCCCGAGAGGTCAGGGAAGTATAGGTATCGATCTAGGGAACGCCATAGTCCACCAGCGTCTACCAGCGTCAGGAGGAGAGAGTATGGGGAAGAAGAAGGAAGCAGACAGCTGGATTAGGGGTCCTGAAATTGCGGCGTGTGCAGCCGTACCGTACAACAACACTCACCTATACTACATTGCATTTCTGTTCTTCAGCATTGTACGGTGCGGTTGCACACGCGAGGGTCACGAGGTCTAGTCCTGCTGTGTGCTACCCTCCTACTTCCTATGCTCTCTACTCCCCGTCGCTGGTGGACGCTGGCGGACGCCGGTAGACGCTGGCAGACGCTAGATCGATATCTATACTTTCCTAGCCGCTGGCGCTGGCGGACGCTCGAAACGCTGGTGGTCCCGGGTGGATGCTGTCGCAAATTATGAACGCAACCTTTGTAGGAAAGACTTTCAAATTAGTAATGCAAAGTTTTTCATAAATTAATCTTACAAGAATGGTCCTGCAGTCCCGTCTAGGCATTAGCTATAGAGGGGACAAATTCTTTTATAATGCAGCTTTCCTGTCTGGTCCGAGGGATTCCTCTCCGAAGTGGTCTGTACTTAGTGAAGATACGGTAAGACCGTAGGTGTATTTGTTGTGACTGTGCACAGTTTCCTATGCTTATACAATAGTTTTTAAGCTTAAGTAACCTTCATTTTAAAGAGAATTCGTATAAACTGCCTTAATTTACATAGTTATAAGCGGCTAGTGATGTAGTTTCTTATTCTCAGGACTCGTCTATATAGGAGACTTTTTTTACTCATTCGATTTCTCACAGTTTACATGTACTTGTTCTTTGCATAGAGGCAATAAAGGTTCTTTTTCATTTTTCTTAGAATACTGCATCGGAATTCATCCGCATCTACCTACATTGTTGATGTGTAGAACAGCAAATGTGATCATTTGAATTTTGGGTGGTGTATTTGAAGTGTTTGACTTAGGTAAGACCGCGTTGAGACTGCGCGACCGCGCGATATAGAGATTCAGTCGCGGGTTTGGGAAGTGTGAACGCAGTTTCTAAAATGCCTTCATCACGCCCTAAATTACACCTTCAAGCATACAGCAGCTATCAAACTATACACTGAGATCTTTACAGTCTTGTTCGTTGCGGACGAAAGGGCGTGTCAGGCGGGATGAGTTTAGCGCGGTCCCAAACCCGTTCTCTGTAGTCGCTGAAGCGGGTATGCGACAACATTGGTAGAAAAAGAGTGATACGAACGATATGGTACAGTCTTGTCACTTACTCACTTTAACAACTGTTGGAGAACGATTGCAGCACCGCGCCAAACTCATCCTGCTTGACACGCGCTTTCGTGCGCAGCTAGCTAGACTAAACATATAAATTGTAACATTGCAATTTATTGGGGGCGGCGATCGCAGCGCGGCACGAGCTCGCGTCCGGCCGCCTTGCTCTACCAATGGGTCGAGCAGTGATCGATGTAGGAAGGGTCACGCGGTCTAGTCCTGCTGTGTGCTACCCTCCTACTTCCTATGCTCTCTACTCCCCGTCGCTGGTGGACGCTGGCGGACGCCGGTAGACACTGACGGACGCTAGATCTGATTATCTATATTTTCCTAGCCGCTGGCGCTGTAGGAAGGAATCAGTCACTGATGGGAAGGCCGCAGGTGGGAACCTTTGATTGCGACCCGACAGGTCGCGTGATATGAACTGTACCAGGCATTGAGGGGAACAGACTAATCGGCAGGCTTTAGCAGGAAACACAGGCACAATGTACAGGAAAATGACCCGCGCCGATCAACCTTCAATATACCTGAAATATGGTAGTGCTTCCTGTAAGATGTTTCATTTTGACAAAATTGTGGTCAGTCCCTGTCCAACACTGAACAAGGTGACAGTTGTCTGAAAACAAAATATCCCACGAGTAACCTATTCTATATCGTGTCAAGGATGAAAAGTGTAACATTGAGGCACATGGGAGGTCGGCGATTAGGCGATGAACCTCAGGCGGCAATAGCTCCTCTTTTGCGCTAGTCTCTATTTTTATGCGATATGTCCATCATTTGAAATTTGTGAGTAGGGTTTTATTTACCTATCTGTCAGGGAATCTTAATCACAGATGACACTCATGAAGACGACGGACTTGCGTTCAAGGCGCCCTGCTGCTGGGGGAAATTTTCGTGAAATACGGCCACCCCCTCCCCTAGGTTTTTCCTCTGCTTCCCCCCGCCCGCCTCCCCCCACATTCCCTGTCCTCCAGCTTTTCTCTGCCTCCTGCCAACCAGTTTTTTCCGAGATCTTCAAAGGCTTCCAGTTTTTCCTCCGGAATCGAGCGAGGGAGGGAAGGGGATTCGGATCGCCACTGAAACGGAAAAACCAAGAAAACTCAACAACTGCAAAGATTTTTTCGCAATGCGACAAGGCAAGACACTCTCAAACGCAAGTACGACCCCGCCCCTCCCCCTCCCCATTGGAATTATCCCAGTGATGTGAATAGCGCCCGCGAATCAGAAAAATTGACTATCAAAAAATGTTTCTCGGACCAGCTACGGATCCCTTCCTTCCAGCGGATAACTACAACCTCCTCTGCGTCGAGGTCCCCAACGTAGGACGTTGGTCAGAGCTACGATGAGATCGCATACACGGTCAGATTCGAATGCCTCTATGCATTATGACCGCTTGCAGCTACATCTTACTTTTCGACCTGCGCCTTTGTTTCGATGCCCTACGCATCTATGCCGGGAAGAATTTTAGCTTTGCTCAGTTCCTGAAAGAAATGATGACTTTTTCATGTCATTTTGCCGTAGTTGCTCGATGCTACGTCAGTTTGTGTATCGTGAGGATTAATGGTTCTTTCAGCAAAAGCCGCGATGCTTATTAAGCAACTCTTTATCCGCAAGTTACCAGTAGGTCGCTGTTTTTTCGTATTCTTCACGCCGGCTCTATCCAACGCTTCGATTGATGACCGGTAAGATTTTTTCGGATGTACTAAGTCATCTTTTCTTGCTTGGGCTTCCTCGCGACACTGGAGGATCGGGGAATCGCGAAATTTGGATGATCAATTGATGTCGTTGCAATCGCCAATGCAATCTGACGCGGTCTAGCTTCCAAAGGGTCGGCATGAAATGAGCCCACCAGTGGCTCTGTCACTATTGTTGTTTTCTTTCTGAATCGACCACCAATCGTTCACTATTGGTAGAGCAGAGTAGCGAGAGACGGCTCATCTCGCCCCTCCCAACATCGCCCCTACTGACTGCGACGTTATCAGCTAAATGTGTCCATCTGAGGATCAGAACTGCAAGAAATACTGGATGCGTGTTGGTTATCTTCGATTCTTAGAAGTGATCCACACGTTCCCTTCGCGTGCACTCCGATTCTCCAGTGTCGCAAATTATGAGCATAAACTTCCTCTTTCGCCTCAATGTTGTTTTTTGTCTGGCATTTTTGTCAAAATAACGTACTGGTATGCAGTACAGGTACGGCGCTCTTCTAAAAGAGACGTTCGCTGACGAAACTGTGCCGGAATACTGGACAAAGCAGTCCTCAAGCGGACGCTCTGTCCATGATTTCATGGTTGTCCACCCGAAGGTGAGGGAACTCTTTGATAAATAATCTATTTTGAAGTATTTTGTATCGTGCCGCTTCATTTTCGAATATTTGTAAAATTTCCAAATTTCTCAACAATTTTTCTTCAAGCAAGTTGGCTGGCAGTTTGTTCTCAAAGAGAGCAAAGGCCTGTGAACGTCTCAGAGCATCCCAGCAGTTTCTGCGTTCGTGCTAGATGGTAAAAAAACGGATCCGGTAGACCGATCTCAGTCCTTGATTTATTGCTTGTCTCTTGTTATTGCCTTACCATGATCCCGCAAGGCAAGAGACAAGCAATAAAGGTCAGAAGTAAGACATCAGCCCATTTTCCTTTTTTTGACCATATCACTCGGACGTTGAAGACACAAAAATTTTGTGAGACCTTGTCAAAAAAATATCTCGATTTGACGCAAATGTTGTTCAGGTGCGATGGGGATCGTCTTCAGCTTCAAAGCTCAAGGACCCACAAAGGCAACTTGAGGAAGCCGTCACTCTTGTAAACACACTGCCAGGTTACCGTGTTGTAGAGTAAGTTTTCATTCTCCTTTAAGCTGGCAGTACCCAATATTCGTTCTTGTTGAAGTGAGAGCGTCTTTTTTGTCATGCCAGCTGTTGGGCGGAACGTCCCGCCCTTTTTTTCGAGAGTACCATGTGAACTTCCTAGAGTACGGCCAAATTCCTCAGGTGGTGCTCTCGCCGCGCGCGCAGCATATACAGTAGGCAAGGGGTTTCTTTCATGCTTCGCGACTTCAGCGATTTAGCCAAGTGGTTTGAGAACTGTGAGGCCTGCGCTAGCTAATCGTTGAACCCTGCAGTTGTCAATCCACTCACAGTCAGAAGAAATTTTTTCGACCCTTC